CCTCTACACCCTTCGTGTTCCCGTCCCCTCCTCTGTCCATCACACTTCCTCTTCTTCTGCCCCTCCTGTCTCCTCTTGCGACTTTCGCTCCCTCACCCAACCTACCCTTCTTCTCCATCATCGCCTTGGCCACCCCAATTTCCCTCTCCTTCGCAGCATGGTCGATTCGAAGCTGCTTCATGATCTCCCTTCCTCTCTCCCGCCCCTTCCCCCCTCTCCCGCTCCTCCATGCACCCCTTGTGTTCAAGCCAAGCTCTCCCAATCTCCTCATCCTTCTTCCCCTTCTGCCGCCCCCAAACCCCTTGATCTTGTGCATATGGACCTCTGGGGTCCCTCTCCCATTGCCTCACGTCAAGGTCATCGTTACTTTCTCCTTCTTGTTGATGACCACTCTCGCTTTGCCACTGTCTATCCCCTCCGAGCCAAATCTAATGCCCCCTCCCTCATCATTTGCTGGGCTGAGCAGGCGCGCCTTCGCTTTGGCCGTTCTGTCGCACGCCTCCACTCTGATGGTGGTGGCGAGTATTTAACCACTCTCTCTCTTCTTACTGCTCCTCTCATGGCATTCGCCAAACCTCCACTCTTCCGCATTCTCCCGAACAGAATGGTGTTGCCGAGCGTCGTATTCGCACTCTTATGGAGATCACCCGCTGTCTCCTTACTCATTCCTCTGCTCCACATTCTCTTTGGAGCTACGCTCTTGTTCGTGCCACTCTTCTTTCCAACCTTCGCCCTCATCCCCTTCGCCCCTCCATTACACCCATCCAGCTCTGGACTGGCCGCCAGCCCTCCGCCCACCCTCTTCGGGTGTGGGGTTGTGTCGCTCATGTCCTCATCAATCCCGCCGATCGAGCACGTCAGGGTGGGAAGCTCGCTCACAAGACGCAGCTCTGTGCGTTCATTGGCATCAACGCTTACTGTCCTGGTTATCTTTTCTATGGTCCCTCTTCTCAGCAGCTCATTCACAGCCAGGACGTTATATTTGATGAGACGCGTTCTCCATTCCTCACCCCCCCTCTCACCCCTCCTCCTCCCTCTCTTCATTGGTCTGATTTTGATCCGCTGCCCTCTGCTGCTCCCTCTCCTTCTCCACTTCATCCTCCCCCTGCTCCGCCTCCCCTCCCCGCCCCCTCTACCCCCCCTTCTGCTGTCATCTCCGGCACCTCTCCTCGTCCCTCTTCCTCTTCTGCTCCCATGCCCTCTCCCTCATCACCTCCTTCTACCACCCTCCCTTCTGCTCCATCTCCCCAACCTTCTCCGCGTCTCACCCGCTCTATGACCCGTGCAATGTCCAATCTTAAACACTCTGCTCCCTTTACTCGTCTCTCTCCCTCCCAAAACGTCAACCTTCTCGAGGATCGGTTCGAAGAGCTGTTCTCTGTGCATCCCGTTTCACCACTCCTCTGTGTCACCATTGCCGACTTCTCCAATTCTCCCACTCTCCTCTCCGTTGACACTGCCGCTATTCCCACCCCTCACACCTATTCCGAGGCAGTGTCTGGATTTCATGCAACTGAGTGGATGGCTGCCATCATTGCCGAGTGTGAGGCGTTCACCAGAACTCATTCTTACGTTGACTCTGTCCCCCCCCCTGGCGCCACCATTGCCAAGGGCAAATGGGTCTTTCGTGTCAAACAGCTGCCTGGGGAGCTCCCTATCTTCAAAGCCCGTTATTGCGCCAAGGGCTTCACCCAACGTGAAGGCATTGACTACTTCGCCACTTACTCCCCCACTGCCCGTCTCCCCACCCTTCGTCTCCTTCTTGATCTAGGCGCCCGCTGGGATTGGGAGATTCACTCTGTGGATGTCTCCAATGCCTTTCTCCAGGGCGAGCTTCATGAACACATTTTCCTTGAGCGCCCTGCTGGCTTTCCTCGCCCGTTCCCTCCAAGCACTGTCTGGGAGCTGAAGCGCCCGGTGTATGGTCTTAAGCAGGCCCCACGCGAGTGGCATGCTAAGCTCGCCTCCACTCTTCACTCTCTTGGCTTCTCTACCTCATCTTCCGACCCCAGTCTCTTCATTTGCACGTCCCCCCACAGGCTTTACATTCTTGCCTACGTCGATGACTTGGTGCTCCTCGCTGAAAATTCTGCCGACCTTGCCGCTGTCAAGCAGGCCCTCCAAGCTCGTCTCCTGTGCAAGGATCTTGGCGAGCTTCGTCATTACCTCGGCATGGAAATCCGTCGTGATCGTGCTGCGCACACCATCTCTCTCTCTCAATCCTTTTACATCCACTCCATTCTTGAGCGATTTGAAATGTCGCAGGCCAAGCCAGTTTCCACTCCTCTTCCCGCTAACCATCAGCTTACTGCCCCTGCCGTTCCCGCTCCCTCCTCAGAACTGCGACCCTATCCTGAGCTCGTTGAGTCCCTCATGTATGCTATGATGTGCACTCGCCCCGATCTTGCTTACCCCCTCAGTGTCCTCTCTCGTTTTGTTGGCCTTGGTCGCCACACTGACGTGCACTGGGCGGCTGCCAAGCGCGTTCTCCGCTATCTCCGCGCTACCTCTGATCTTGCTCTCACTCTTGGTGGCTCTTCTCCCCCCATTCTTTTCGGTTACAGTGATTCCTCCTATGCTAATTCTCGCCCTGATCGCCGCTCCTCTCAGGGTTATGGTTTTACTCTTGGCAGTGGCCTCATCAGCTGGCGCTCCACTCGTTCATCCTCTCTCTGCCTTTCCACATGCGAGGCTGAGTTGTACGCAGGTACATTGGCGGCTCAAGAGGCTCGCTGGCTCTCGTTTCTCCTTGCTAAGCTTGGTCACTCTCAGCCCTCTGTGACGCTCTCCTGTGACAGTGCGAGCATGATTCACCTTACTGAAAATCCTGTCTATCACGCTTGCAGTAAACATATCGAGGTCCGCTACTTCTTCGTGCGCGAGCTGGTGCAGTCTGGCTTCCTCTGCCTTCGCAAGGTGGCTGCTACTGCCAACCTTGCTGACATTTTCACCAAGGCTCTCCTTCGTGTGCCTCACCGTTTCTACGTGCGCGCGGTTGGGCTCACTCGTCTCGCCACTTCTGGGGGTGTTCCGGTTTGCTAGGTGTTTTGTTCCAGAGCTTCACCTAGCCTGGGGGTGTGTTGGAGTAGGCTAGAGTTCGCTCTGGCATTTATCGTGGTGTTCTTTTGTTATTTCGCCATGTTTAGGGTGAGTTACACGTTCGGTTCAGTTTAGGTTCATTTCTTAGTTTCTAGCACAAACTGAACACACCCTAAGTCCAATTAGGGTTTCCTACATTTGTATCTCGACACTCTTTCCTAGTAACAATTCTCTTGCTACCTTCTCTCTCCCTAGCCATGGCTTCCATATTCCTAGCTTTACATTGAGCACCACGATCCCTTGCGTGCTTGCGCGCAGTCGTGTGTTGTTCGCCATGGTGACATAGGTCACGGCGGGAGTGGGGATGGCGTTGGATATGTAACGCTCAGAGCCCACCATATGCTGCCCACAGCAGCTATCCAGGTACCACGTGTTGTAGTGCCTGTTTTCATTACGTGCAAGTAGCGCCAGTCGCGGAGAGACGATATGCGGTGTGTCAAACTTTAGGAAATGTTCGCACAAGATCCAATCAATCGGAGCCGCCCGCTGATCAGGCACATGCGGGGGACTTTCAAGCAGCGGGACTGGAAGATTCCAGTCCTGGTTTTTGTCGTCGCTGAAATCGTGGCGCGTGCTGAACGGATTGTTGTTCGAGAACGCTCCGATTGGGTGACGTGATGGCTCAGGTGATGGCGTGCGCACGCGGGGATGACGCGATCCGCTTGTCATCATCATGTTGGCCATGACGTTGCGGACGAGGGCAGCATGTGACGGCTGCTGCTGCTGATGGTGAACCGGTGGGTTCAGGTTGCGCGATGGGGGTTGGAGCCCCTGGGCTTGACGCGTGTCATTTCGTGCGTCTTGTCGGCCGGACCAGTTGCTCGGATTGGTCTGGCGAGGGCGAGATCGGAACTTGCATCAATCTGCCAGGTGCCCGAAATTTCTACAAATCTTGCAGTAAAGGCGCCGTGGGCGTCGCTCTTCTGTGTTGTCGGCGTAGAAAGCGAGGCGTTCTCGATCTCGTCGCGGCGCTAGTCGCTGCTGGTCCATATCCCTTCGTTTGACGAGAAGGGCGGCGCATAGGGCGGCTTCCTAGATGACCCCCTGCTGTCGGAGAAGCGCCTTACAGGGCCGCCACTCTTGGCCGAGCCCTTGAAGCACAATGTTCACGAAAATCTCCTCTGAGATCGTGCTTCCGAGTTTCGTGATTTCATCTCGTAAACTCCGACAGCAGTTGATGTAGCTGTTGGCCTTCTCCCCTGGGGCCATTTTAGTCTCCAGTAGCTGCTGGAGCAGGCGGCTCGATGAAACCGAATCTTTCGGTTGGTACACGTCGTTCAGATGACACCAAGCGTCAAGGGCTAGAGTAGAGGTCGTTTTGTACGAACGAATGCTCAACTGCTCCGCCGGCGATATGTTCCGTAGGAGGACCCCGTACGCCATCAACGACTCGTTGTAGTAATGCGCCCGGGCGTCAGCAGTGTCCTCAGCGGGTCCCGAATAGCTCCCGTCGAAGTAGTGGAATATCTGCGCTTTTTGCAGCAATAGCTCCAGCTCGAAGCTCCACGTATAGAAGTATCTGCCGTCAAAACACACGATTGTCTTTATTTTTATATGCCGGCCAATGCGAGCAACCTCCATGAGCAAGCCAATGCGACGCTCAGCAATCCCATGGAGGTGCGAGCAACCTCCATGACCAAGCCAATGCGACACTCACAATCCCATTCTGCTGTGGAGAGGCCGGAAGCGTGAACGATTGGGCGATGCCCTCCGCACGACAAAAGTCCTGAAGGAGGCCGGAGGAAAACTCACCGCCTCTGTCAGAGTGCAGTCGCAGGACCGGGAGGTCCTGCTGAAACTGCGCGCTCAGCTGGCGACGAACAGCGATGATCCAATTGATCAAAATACCGCGGACATCCGCCTTGCTCCGCAAGGGGAAGACCGTGTTAGAGACTAAGGAGATGGTGGTAAGTGAGGAGTGGGAGGCGGTGGCGGTGGCACGGTCTGACGAGGGGCGAGCTGTCCACCTCCTTCTCTTGGATGAGGTCTTTTGGGACTGCGCGACAGCGGTCCTCCGCCTCATGACACCCATGTACGAAGTGCTGCGGGTTGTGGACACGTGTGCTCTAGTCATGGGCCAGATCTATGGCCTCATGCTAGATGCCATGGTGAAGACCAACGATGCGGCAGAGGCGGCAGGTAAGCTGTGAATTGCCGCACGTTCTGACTATTGTATACCATTCCCGCCCATTTTACTCACCTCGTGCCCTCCGGTTCTCCCCATAGGCAGCCAATTTGATGCTGAAACGCACAGCTCTCTTGCCGGCCAAGGACAAGCCGACCTTTCTGAAGGCCATCAAGGCTATTATAGCCAGGAGGTGGGACGCCCAGCTCCACAATCCACTCCATGCTATGGGGTGGCTTCTCAACCCCCGCAATCAGTACCTCGGGGAGGTGAAGAACGATCCCGAGGTAAGGCTTGGGGCGGAAGTGGTGATCCAGGCCCGTGGGGAGGGTGTCGCTCAACGCACGCTGCTGTTGGCGCAGTTGACGCAGTTTCATCAGGGAAAGGGGCTGATAGGGTCCGATGACGCCCGTTGGGCAGCAACGGAGTTGGTGGCGATTGGGCGCTTGACAAAGGTGGAGTGGTGGCTGATGTACGGGGGGGAAGTGCAAGCGCTCATGGGGATGGCTGTGACGGTGCTGTCACAGCCAGTCACGTCATCTGAGGTGGAACGCTATTGGTCCGCCATTGCACGTGTGCAGAGGCGGGACCGTAATCGCCTTAGCGCCAAAAAGATGATGGACGTGACTGAGGTGGCGTTCGCCAGGAGGGCCAGGGATGCATTCGATAGGAAATCACGGAGAGGGAGAAGCTTTATGCCGATCTGGCCAACGGCGCCCTCAAGCAAGGGTGTACCGTTGAACCGGCAGCAACAGAGGAAGAGGAAGTGGGGGACGACGAGGAGGAGGGAGAGGGGAATGAGCAGCTATGCACCATTGATTGGGACCTTTTTGGAAACATTGGGAAGAGGAAGAAGAAGGTGCCTAAGTCCGCTAAAAGGAAGAGAAACGGGAAGGCCAAGAAGCCTATCAAGGGAAAGAGGAAGGCAACATCTGTGGGAGAGGAAGAGGGTGAGGAGGAGGAGGCGGTGAATAGCAGTGGAGGGGAGGAGGAGGACGTGCCCACCAAGGCTCGAAATGGCCAGGATCCTTGGGACATTAGTGACGGGTCTAGTGGAGAGGAAGAGGAGGAGGCGGATGACGATGAGGAGGAGGAGGAGGAGGAGGAGGAGGAGGAGGAGGAGGAGGAGGAGGAGGAGGAGGAGGACAAGGAGGACAAGGAGGAGGAGGAAGATGAGTAGAGTAGAGAGGAGGTAGCAGGTACGAGGAGGAGAGAGAGAGAGGGAAGGATACGATAGGGTAGGAGTAATGAATAGTGGATGGTAGTGTCAACGGAAGTTGTGTGTTGGCCCCGTCCTCGCTTGGGCGGAGCCGACTTCGTGGTCGGATGTGAGGGGAGCAGTCGACCTGCATCAGTGGGCGAGCTGGTTGACGAGGATTTCGACCTGCACGGGGACCACTGCATGGGCGCCGACTTCAGGGTGGCGCCGACTTCAGTGAGGTCGACCTGGGAAGTCGACCTGCGGAGGACGTCAACTTGGTGACGTCAACTTGGGGTAGCCGACTTGGGTGGTCGGCTAGCAGGACTGCTGGTCGACCTGGTGGTTTGTCGACCAGGCCTGCTGGTCGACTTGGTGGTAGGTCGACCAGGAGTGATGTCGACCTGGTGGTCGACCTGACCTGGTGGTCGACGGAGGAGGGGCCGACGTCGACCACGACTCAGGACGCTGAGCAGCTGGACGTCAAGTAGCAGGGCGTCAACTTGGTGACGCCGACTTCGGGTGACAGCTTCGCTGGTCGACATGGAGCTGGTCGACCAGGAGTGCTGGTCGACGTGGAACTGGTCGACCAGGAGGGACGTCGACCTGGAGCTGGTCGACCAGGGGCGTGGTCGACCTGGTGAGGTCGACTTGGGGTGGCCGTCAACTTGGGAGGTCGACGGGCACATACAGGAGCAGCTGGTCGACATGGTTGCCCGGTCGACCAGGTTACCTGGGTGACGAAGTCCTGTGGAGGAGTGCGACGGTCGAACAGGCGAAGTTGGCGAGTCCGACCTCGGTGGTGGTATCCCGAGGTCGACGTGGCTGATCAGATGCAGACGTCAGCGCCATGTTGACTTGATGTGTGCGCTGTGCAGGTGACGAGGCTCAGCGCGCCAATCATCTGCGAGCATCTGCGAAGCTGGTGCGATGCTGTACTGCGGGAGCAACGCTGGCACGCCGTCAACCTGCGACGTTGGCACGCCGTCGACTTTGCACTGCTGGAGCGCGGTCGACCAAGTCGTGCTGGAACGTGGTCGACCGTGCTGCGCTGGCAGTCGACCGACCTCAATGCTAGCTCTGATGTAGTCTTGCCATGCCAACTTCATTGTACCATTGTTGTCAACTATTCTTAGTGAAACTCTTGCCAACTTGCCCCGTGAACTAGCAAGCAGTGTGTGCACTAGGAAAACGACTAAGGACCAACGAACGCAGAGATCACACGAGCACCCGTGCCTAGCCCGTAGTCTAGCTCCCGTTGTAGTAGTTATCTCCGCATGGTGCGGTGAGCGTGGACGGCACACAACTTACCTTTCAGTCAGGTCGACGTAGAGGTCACATACCTAAGTTGCTCGTAGGCCGGCAGCCGTACAGGTCCCTAACGTGCGCGTAGGTGACGCCAAGGTGATGGACACCCTGGAGGGACGGCTGGAGGATGCAAGGAGACGCCATGAGGCCCAGGAGTACGGGACGATACCTTGGGCGGTCGTTGAGGCTGGACTCCGCTCCGTGTGGGCGACGGAGCATCCCCCTTCTCGACCAGCTTCTCCACGACCGGTGACCAACGAAGGCGGCGTCGACGTGGGCGTCAACGCCGGAGGTGGCCAAGTCGGCAGCAGTGCGGGAGGCACGTCGAGGCAGAGAGGTGTGATTCATGCCGATGAAGTCGGCGGCGTTCATGCGCGAGGGGTGCAGTCGTCGGCGGCTGCAGGCTCCTCGCATGGAGACGTCGGAGGACGACGAAGCGGTTTGTCGCCGATGTCGGCGACCCAGGTGACGGCGGGCGGGATTGCACCGAGCTACGGCTACTTCAAGTTTGCGCCGGACAGGATCTTGGTCACCCCACCGCTCGTTGGTCGACAGGACATCCTCACCTGGAAGGAAGCCATCGAGCCCCAGCTGGAGATGGCTGGGCTGATCAACTTTGCCCGAGGATCCGTGGTGACGCCGGACGACCCCGACTTACGTGCGGAGTTCCGAGCAGTGCAGCTGTTGACCTTCATGGTCATCTCGCGGTGCTGCTCGCCGGGCGTGCAGATCGCCCTAAAGTGGTGTCGGGAGTACCTCGACGCCGGCCACCAGGCGTGGCACTTCATTGAGTCGACCTACCAAGTCACCGACGACCTGTTCATCGCCCAGCTGGAGGGACAGCTGACGCACCTGCGTATGGGCGACGAGGAGACAGCGACCGACTACTGCAACCGGGCCAGGCGAATTCTCGCCACCATCAGGATGGCCGGCGCGCAGTACTCGACGGCGTCGTACGTCACCCACGTCATGCAGGGACTTTCGAGCAACTACAACCTCCTAAAGCGGCTGTCAATGGCGCCGGGCACGAGGACGACGCTCAACGAGGACAACTTGACCTCGTACATCCTGCAGGACGAGGCGATGCAGGAGGCAGAGCGATCCCAGGAGCTCTTGGCGCAGGCCAACTTCGTCGCCCCGGCGAAGCAAGGAGGTCGACCGGGGCAGCGTGGTCAGTCTGGCGGCAGAGGTAGCAATGGCTGGAAGTCGACCAAGGAGGTCGACAAGAAGAATTCGACCAAGGACAGCGGTCGAGGAGGAGGAAGTCGACGTCGGGAGTGCTGGCTGTGCGGCGACCCCGACCACCTCTCCTTTGAGTGTCTAGACCGCAGTGACTCCGAAGACGACGACGCCAAGGGAGGCCGCGGGAGGTCTAGCAGTCGTCGTCCTCGTCGAGGAGGAAACCAGCAACGCAAGGAGAAGCAGTCAACCAGCACGTCAACTTTGGCGAAGGACGCCGACTCCTCTGCTGGCGGCAAGGCGCGGGACGACAAGACGGCGTCGTGCTCGCTGGTCGGCGTCGTGGAGCCGACCGTCTCGCTGGCGCCGGAGGCCGGAGAGGACTTCCAGGCGGTGGCGGCAGCTGTGCAGGCGAACCCGGCGGTGGTCCTGCTTGACAGCGGCCGCTCCCACCACCTGATGGGGACGAAGGAAGTCTTCGTCGACCTGCAGCCGAGCGGCTCCATCAAGCACGTGCGCGGCTTCAATGGGGCGCTGCAGGACGTCCAGGGCCGAGGCACCGTCGCCCTGCAAGGGGAGGCCGGGAAGCAGGTACTCATCCCCGACGTGCTGTACGTCCCGGGTGTGCGGGCAAACCTGTTGTCATCCGGCCAGCTGAAGGAGCACGGCGTGAAGCTGCAGGAGGACGGCGACGGGATGCTGCTCGTCTCGGCAGCGGGAGAGGTGCTCGGTCGGGCGACGTACTCCGGGCGTGTCCTCTGCACCGACCTGCAACCCTGCTCAACGAGGTCGACGTCGCCCACGACTGAGGTTGTGGCCCTGCGGGCGATCGTCTCTAAGACGAAGTCGACGCCGGATAGGATGCATGCGAGACTTGCGCACGTCGGCATGGACACCATACGGAGCTCGGCGAAGAACGAGGTCGCCATTGGGCTGGACCTCAAGTCGACAACAACGGCCGACTCACAGTGTGTCTCGTGCGTCGGCGGGAAGCTGGCGCGGCACACCTTCCCCGACCAAGGCTCCGACGCCGACGACGTGCTGGCCGTCGTGCACATCGACCTGTGCGGGCCGTTCCGCGTGGCTGCCAAGGACGGCAGCTTGTACTTCTTGCTGCTGAAGGACCGCAAGACCCGCTTCGTGTGGGTGAGGCCAGTCGCCAAGAAGTCGGATGCGCTGCTGGAGTTCCAGAAGTGGCTGGTGTTGGTGGAGAGGCAGGCGAATAAGTCGGTGCTGATGCTGCGCTACGACCGAGGCGGGGAGTTCCTCGGGAAGCAGTTCGTCGACTTCGTGGATGGCAAGGGGATCGTCCACGACCTCACCTGCCCGTACACCCCGCAGCAGAACGGCATGGCAGAGAGGGAGATGCGGACGGTGGTGGAGTCAGTGCGGACGATGCTGCTGCACATGGGCGTGCAGCACCACTGGTGGCACCTCGCCCTGCGGCAGGCCATCTGGATCCGCAACTGCCTAGAGAGGTCGACGCTGCCACCGGGGACGACGCCGTACCAGCTGCTGGTCGGCCAGAAGCCCGACTTGTCGATGGCGCGGGTGTGGGGCTGCATGGCGCAGTTCCTTGTCCCCGAGCAGCAACGTGGTGGGAAGTTGAAGCCGAAGGCCAGGTGGGGCCTTCACCTTGGCGTGTCGACGGCGAGCAAGGGCTGGGAGCTCCTCGACGTCGACGCCAACCGGGTGGTCACCACGTCGGACGTGGTGTTCTACGAGGAGATGTCGCTGGCCGAGTGGAAGTCGGAGTCCGGGCCGGTGTCAGGACGGACGCCGACCACCCCGCCGACCGACACCTCGACGGCGACGCTGCCCCTGCTCGCCGAGGTCGGTGGGCTTGCTGCTGAGGACGACGAGGTCGTCCGTCCTCCTTCCCCTACCCCTACGACCCCTGCCCCTCCCCTCGTGGCCGACCTGCACGGGCTGACTCCTATGTCGGCCTCCGGCGATGAGGGGAGTAGTGGGACGTCGCCTTCGGCGCCGGCCAAGGGCATCGCCGCTGGCCGACGTGACGAGCGGCAAGTCGACGCGGGAGTGAAGTCGACGTTGATAGCGGAGAAGCAGGTCGAGGAGGAGCAGCCGACTTGGGTGAAGTCGGCGAAGAAGGCAGCTGAGAAGCAGCCGACAGGGGAGCAGGCAGCGGTGAAGCCGACCACGGAGCAGTCGGCAACCAGGCAGTCGGCAGGGACGCCGACCACAGGTGAGAGGTCGACCAGGAAGTCGACCGAGGTGCAGCAGGACGACGAGGGCAGTAAGGACGCCGGGGAGTCCACCAAGAGTGACGAAGTGGAGGTTCGGCCTGAACCTCGGAAGCCGGATAGACTTCGGAGGCCGCCGGACTTCTTCGTCCCCGCTGCCTTCACCACGGTGTACGACGTGGACGATGACAACGACCTGATGTACGACGACGCCGAGGAGGATGAGGAGTTTTCGGAGCTCGACCCGGACATGCTGGCCGACCCCGAGCACCGTTGGGACATCTCGACAATGACGGTGAAGGAGGCTTTGGCGAGCTGGAAGGGCCCGGCGGTGAAGGCCACCATGGAGGAGGAGATCCGCAGCCTCATCAACATGGGCACTTGGGAGCTGGTCGAACGCCCGCCGGGGGTCAACATCATGAAGAACCGGTGGGTGTTGACGACGAAGTACCACGTCGACGACACCGTCGAGCGCGAGAAGGCGAGGCTGGTCGTGAAGGGCTTCACGCAGGTGTACGGCGCCGACTACGACGAGACGTTCGCGCCGGTGGGCAGCTACGTCACGCTGAGGATCTTCCTCAGCATCGTCGCCGTCCTCAACCTCAACCTGATGCAGCTCGACATGAAGAACGCCTTCCTGCAGAGCAAGCTCGACCGGGTGCTCTACATGTCCCAGCCGGACTACTTCAACGACGGAACCGGCCGGGTGTGCAAGCTGCTGAAGAGCCTGCACGGCCTGAAGCAGTCACCGCTGTTGTGGTGCTTGGCGCTCAACGACGTGCTGGTCGACGCCGGGTGGAAGAAGAGCCAGGTCGACGAGGCGTTGTACTTCAAGGTCGGCGTGGACGACGTGGCCTGCTGGGTGCTGGTCTACGTCGACGACCTGCTCGCCGCCAGCAGCTGCACCGAGATGCTGAAGGAGCTGAAGGAGCTGCTGGAGTCCGCCTTCGAGCTGCGTGAGATCTCGCCGGTGCAGAAGTACCTCGGGCTGGAGGTCGGCGGGGAAGCTGTGGCTGCACCAGCAGGGCTACGCCGACAAGCTGCGTAGGCGCTTCATCGACGAGGAGCAGACCGGGCGCACTCCGAAGACGCCGGTCTCAGTCGACGCCTACGGCGAGCTCACCTTCGACGACGAGGAGGCACAAGAGCGACAGGAGGAGGAGTACCGGCAGAAGGTCGGCTCGCTGCAGTTCGCGGCGACGACGACGAGGCCGGACGTCGCCTTCGCCTGCAGCAAGCTGGGGAGCGGCCTCACGGTGAGGAGCGACCAGCACTGGCGCGAGGTCGACGACAACACACGTGACACCGCCCTGGAGTTCGGCGGTGGACCTGAGTCGCTGGAGCTGGTCGGCTACGTGGACGCCGACGACGCCGGTGACAAGCAGAGCAGGACGAGCACGGGCGGCTACGTGTTCGTCTACGGAGGGGCCGCAGTCTCCTGGTCGAGCCAGCGCATCAAGTGCGCGACGTTGTCGTCGACCGAGTCGGAGTACGTGGCGGCCACCGAAGCCGGCAAGGAGGGACGTCGACTTCGCTTCCTCCTTGCAGAGTTCCAGCAGCTGGACGCTGGGAAGCCGACCGTCCTCCGGGTGGACAACAAGTCGGCCATCACGGTCGCCGAGGGCATGGGGTTGACGGGCAACCTCAAGCACATGGAGCAGCGACAGGCCTGGCTGCAGCACATGGTGAGGCGCGGGAAGTTCTCGCTGAGGTACATCCCGACCACCGAGCAGCCGGCCGACTTCCTGACGAAGGCGCTGCCCTATCCGGCCTTCAACCGGTGCTCCGTCGCCATCGGCCAGGTGCGCTTGGCCGACGTGGGTGATGAAGTTGACGAAGTGCAGCAGTAGGTGCCATGCCCTCTTGCATGGCTGGTGCGGTGGACGACGCGCTGTGTGTAAGGTGCACGTCGACGAGCTAGTCTCTGAGGAGTACTGCCGTGTGGGCTGGGGGGCCAAGCGTGAACGCGGCAGGGGAGTGTCAACGGAAGTTGTGTGTTGGCCCCGTCCTCGCTTGGGCGGAGCCGACTTCGTGGTCGGATGTGAGGGGAGCAGCCGACCTGCATCAGTGGGCGAGCTGGTTGACGAGGAGGTCGACCTGCACGGGGACCACTGCACGGGCGCCGACTTCAGGGTGGCGCCGACTTCAGTGAGGTCGACCTGGGAAGTCGACCTGCGGAGGACGTCAACTTGGTGACGTCAACTTGGGGTAGCCGACTTGGGTGGTCGGCTAGCAGGACTGCTGGTCGATCTGGTGGTTTGTCGACCAGGCCTGCTGGTCGACTTGGTGGTAGGTCGACCAGGAGTGATGTCGACCTGGTGGTCGACCTGACCTGGTGGTCGACGGAGGAGGGGCCGACGTCGACCACGACTCAGGAAGCTGAGCAGCAGGACGTCAAGTAGCAGGGCGTCAACTTGGTGACGCCGACTTCGGGTGACAGCTGCGCTGGTCGACATGGAGCTGGTCGACCAGGAGTGCTGGTCGACGTGGAACTGGTCAACCAGGAGGGACGTCGACCTGGAGCTGGTCGACCAGGGGCGTGGTCGACCTGGTGAGGTCGACTTGGGGTGGCCGTCGACTTGGGAGGTCGACGGGCACATACAGGAGCAGCTGGTCGACATGGTTGCCCGGTCGACCAGGTTACCTGGGTGACGAAGTCCTGCGGAGGAGTGCGACGGTCGCCCAGGCGAAGTTGGTGAGTCCGACCTCGGTGGTGGTATCCCGAGGTCGACGTGGCTGATCAGATGCAGACGTCAGCGCCAGGTTGATTTGATGTGTGCGTTGTGCAGGTGACGAGGCTCAGTGCGCCAATCATCTGCGAGCATCTGCGAAGCTAGTGCGATGCTGTACTGCGGGAGCAACGCTGGCACGCCGTCAACCTGCGACGTTGGCACGCCGTCGACTTTGCACTGCTGGAGCGCGGTCGACCAAGTCGTGCTGGAACGCGGTCGACCGTGCTGCGCTGGCAGTCGACCGACCTGAATGCTAGCTCTGATGTAGTCTTGCCATGCCAACTTCATTGTACCATTGTTGTCAACTATTCTTAGTGAAACTCTTGCCAACTTGCCCCGTGAACTAGCAAGCAGTGTGTGCACTAGGAAAACGACTAAGGACCAACGAACGCAGAGATCACACGAGCACCCGTGCCTAGCCCGTAGTCTAGCTCCCGTTGTAGTAGTTATCTCCGCAGGTAGTAGTGGGAATGGTAGAGTTCTGTTGTTTGATGCTGTTGTGTTGTAATGCTAGGCTAGTGTGTACCTTCCACAACCTTGTAGAAACAATTTCAGTGATTGCTAAAAAAAAAAAAAACCTCAAAACTAGTCTATCAAAAATACGGCGTATTTTTTTATATTTGGCCGTAATAAACGACCGTATTATACGGACCGTATAATACGATAACCGTAACTTTGATCCTTGACCATAGCAAAAATTGTGGGTTTAATACTGGTGTCCAGTTTTGCCTTCCAGAACTCTAACCTAAATCACCTACCCTAACTTAACCTTCAACCTGACATTTCCTGCTAAAATTCGAAATGTAAACCATGGGAATGGGCTAGGTAACTAGGATAGGGGGCGGAATGCCTTCCTTCAACTCAAGGGACGATTGAGCCCAATGAGCTCAATCGTCGACCGACTTCTTTTAGCTTACGATTGGCTTTCGCTCCCAAAGTGTTCGCACCGAGCACTTTGTGAATTAGACCACCCATGTGTTCGTGGGTTTTTGTGCTTGCACAAACTCGAACGTGTTCGGGACAAACAAGTGTTCGTCCCAAACTATTTTAGGCAAAAAAAAAACCCTGTTCGTTCGAGTCGAACCGAACAGGGGTTCGATTTTTTTCTCTTGTCTGACTGAGAGCAGCTTATTCAATCACTGGGTAGTCGCGTCTGCTAGGCATAAACTCACAGCTTGGCCATGTGGATGGTGTTGCCGCCCACCCCACAGAATGCATCCACCACCACACCTGCCCCACCCGCCACGCCTTTTGCACCCCCCACCTCTGCTGCACCCCCCAGCCCTGCTGCACCCCCAACCCCTGCAGCACCGCTTTTGCCTGCTGCACGTTCACAACTCTCCATGCGTGTTTCACTCCCACACCTCCCTTCGCCCAAGGAACCATCTCTAGGTTCCTCTTATCCTTCCTGTGTGCCCATCGCATCACGTTCCTTGTTCACCTCTCCCTCCCCTCCTTCCTTTTCCTCCTCCTCCCCCGCTGTTACTCGAACTCCCCTCTGCTCTAGTGCATCTTCCTCAGAGTTCAACGCTGCAGTGTGGCCAGCACGCATGGCAGGAGCACACGTGGCAGCAGCATGCGTGGCAGCACCATCATCTGCACTAGTGGTGCCTCTATCTCCTGCCAGCGCACCAGCACCACCACCTCCTGCTGACGTGGCAGTATCACCCCCTGCACACGCGGCACCACCATAATTCGTGGCAGCAGCACACATGGCAGCATGGTGGGCGGCGATGGCCTCAGGAGTGACAAGGGGCCACGCGTCAGCATCCAATAGGACGCCCTCATTGAACCTCGAGAACAGACCATACCGCTGCTGCCAGTACTTCTCATACCCCGCCACTACAGCCTCCTCTGTTATAGCCTCCTCTGCTATGCTTTGCTCACCTGCTCCCCTGCTGTCTCTCCACATGCTCCCTCCACAGCTACAGCCTGGTGAGCTAAAGCCTGGTGAGCTACAGCCTGCTCTGATACACCCTGCTCCGATACAGCCTGCTCTGATACAGCCTGCTCTGATACAGCCTGCCCTGCTACAACCTGTTTGGGCGTCCATCCCACCCATCATGCGAGCCCACTCCCCTCGCCATGATCTGGCGGGTGCCACTGGGTGATGGCGGCTGCTGCATTGCAGAAGTACACGCCGTGGGAGAGCGGCTCCCACACCGCCTGCCATGCACCCTCCTCCGCCACCACGAATGGCACCCCCTCTGCCCGCCCTTCCAGTGTTTGCTCTCCCTCTCCCTGCTCTCCCTCTGCCTGCCCTTCCCCCGCCTGTCTTTCCACTGCCTGCCATGCACCCTCCTCCGCCACCACGAATGGCACCCCCTCTGCCCGCCCTTCCAGTGTTTGCTCTCCCTCTCCCTGCTCTCCCTCTGCGTGCCCTTCCCCCGCCTGCCTTTCCACTGCCTGCCATGCACCCTCCTCCGCCACCATGAATGAAACCCCCTCGGCATGCCTTTCCTCCACCTGCCCTTCCTCCACCTGCCCTTCCTCCACCTGCCCTTCCACTGCCTGCCCTTCCACTGCCTGCCCTTCCACTGCCTGCCCTTCCACTGCCTGCCCGTCCACTGCCTGCCCTTCCACTGCCTGCCCTTCCACTGCCTGCCCTTCCACTGCCTGCCCTTCCACTGCCTGCCCTTCCACCGCCTGCCCTTCCACTGCCTGCCCTTCCACTGCCTGCCCTTCCACTACCTGCCCTTCCACCGCCTGCCATGCACCCTCCTCCGCCACCAATAATGACACTCCCTCTGCCGGCCCATCCACCGCCTGCTCTCCCGCTGTCAGCCCTTTCATCTGCTCTCCCCCAATCAGCTCAGCGCCACCTTCTGCCACATTTGCACTGACAGCTTTTACTTCTACCTCTGCAGCAACACGTGATGTTGACCCCATGCCACCCTCCACTGCCTCTGCACCGTTCTCCACCAATGCATCTGCACCGTTCTCCACCACTGCATCTGCACCGTTCTCCACCACTGCATCTGCATCGTTCTCCATCACTACCTCTGCACCTGTAATGCACTCTGCTGTTTCCTGTCCGTCTCCCCTCCTTCTCCCACGCCTCTTCTTCTTCCCTCCACGAGCCCCACCAGAACCACCGCCACCACCTCCAACACCATCACCGCTCTGCTGCTGCATCACAGAAACACACGAATACGAACAGTGGGCGTGAGAAGAGGACTAGTTTTGAGGCGCCTCAAAGCTGCACCACAGAAACACACGAATACGAACAGTGGGCGTGAGAAGAGGACTAGTTTTGAGGCGCCTCAAAGCTGCACCACAGAAACACACGAATACGAACAGTGGGCGTGAGAAGAGGACTAGTTTTGAGGCGCCTCAAAGCTGCACCACAGAAACACACGAATACGAACAGTGGGCGTGAGAAGAGGACTAGTTTTGAGGCGCCTCAAAGCTGCACCACAGAAACACACGAATACGAACAGTGGGCGTGAGAAGAGGACTAGTTTTGAGGCGCCTCAAAGCTGCACCACAGAAACACACGAATACGAACAGTGGGCGTGAGAAGAGGTTGAAGCTGAGACGTACAAAGATTTTTGTTATCGGCATCCACGTGCAAACCTTATAGCCCTATTTGGCTCCAATATGTGCACACCCATCCAACATGAGGGGCAATGGTGAGGTTGGAGAGAGTGTCGTTAATATATCAAGTGCACAAGTGATTAAGGTTTAAGGCTCAACAGAGAGCGCAGCAGGAGCTGTCAAGAAAAGATAGGTGGGCTGTGAAGGCCTTATTTCCATCAACTCTTGTTGTATTAGGACAACGAGACAAACTCCATGAAAAAAATGGCGAAAAGGAGCCTAGAACGTAGTTAAGAGAGCCAGTTTGAAGTAATTCTTCACTAAAGGATCGGGAACATTGCATAAGTGATTAAGGTTTAAGGTTCAACGGAGAACACAGCAGAAAGTGAGAGAGCAATCACATGAAGCTCGGGGCGCACACACCACAACGCCTTGTGCTGCTGCCTGCATGGCCTGGATTCTAAACCCCCCCTCCACTCACCTTACCATCCTGTGGTGACTGCACAGCCCGAGCCCCTCCGCTGAACTGCATTGGCAAGCCAAGAGCAGCCATGGCGCCTACCAGCCAGCTCTGCTTCCACAAGCCCTTCCCCTTCCAGCAGTGCTGATTCCAAAATCACCTGTGCTTCCGCACTCACCTTAGCATCTTGCGCTGGTTGCATGGCTCGGACCCCTCCGCTAAACTGCACTGGCAGGCTGAGAGCAGCCAGGGCGCCTGCCAGCTCTGCATCCTCATGCGCTTCCCCTTCCACCCACCCGTTGCTTTCGTTGCTGTCCCTTTCGCCCTTTTCCATTGCCGTGCGCCTCTCACCCTGCCTCCACGGGACCACCTGCACCTTCCTGCACTGCAGCTCGTTGCATGAGGGCCGGCGCCTGGCACGATCATCACTGGGAGAGAAGGGAGCCGGGAGGGGGAATAAGGGTTGCCCTGTTGCTGGTTGCTTGAGGGCTGCATGAGGGTTGCATGAAGGCCGGCGCCTGGCGCAACCGTCATTGCGAGAGAACGGAACTACGATGAACTGGGATGGCGGAGAGGTAGGGGGAATAGGGGGAGGGGAGAGTTTGAGGAGAGGGATGGGGGAGTTGGGGATATGGGGGGGAGTGGGAAGGGTGATCTTTGCGTTGGCTTGCCCCCAGGGGACCAACTTGCACCGTGCTGCGCTGCAGCTCGTTGCATAAGGACCGGTTCCCGGCAACCACTGCGAGAGGATTTGAGGACGGGGGAAAACGGGTGGGGGAATGCGGACAGGGGAAGCCGGACGGGGGAAGGCGGATGGGGGAATGCGGATGGGGGAACGCGGATGGGGGAACGCGGATGGGGGGATGTGGATGAATGGGGGAAGGCGGATAGGGGAACGCGGATGGGGGAAGGCGGATGGGGGAACGCGGATGGGGATGTGGATGGGGGAATGTGAATGGGGGAAGACGGATAGGGGAAGGCAGATGGAGGAAGGCGGATGGGGGAACGCGGATGGGGGAATGTAACAACCACGACCCTTATAACAATGGGCAACCATGCGTTAAATATAAATCCTCCTTGACAATATATATAAAATAAAGATATAAGGCTTCCAAGTTTAACTAATCCCACCAAGGGATAACCTAGCCTTGATAGTACTCTTGAAGCTTGAGAGGAGAAAGAGAGCTTGAAGAATGTTGATGAAGCTTTAGCAAGTAGGTAGGTTGCTTCTTGTAGAGCTTGTCCTTGAAGTAAACACAATTTTAGTTGTGTAGGAGAGCTTGTTAGAGAGAACCAAGAAACTTAGAGAAATCTCATTTCCAAATTGGTAAGTTGGAGTTGGGAAGTGGGAATGAGCTTCAAAGCTTCAACCCCTTCCACAATACCCCTTGGGGCTCTTTCCAACCATGGCTTCCATGGTTGGGGAGCTTCTAGGCTTGGAGCCTATGTGGCATCTTTGTTTGGTTGGGAAAACCCAACTTAATTGTGTTGCATGGTTGTTTTTGTTGTTTGGTTGGATTGTAACAACAACTGGCACAATGTGATTGGTTGGAAATCCAACCTTCCCAATCTTCACTTTGATGGGTTGGAAGTTTCCAAGCCTCAAGGTTGAAGTTTGGAACAACCCAATCAACCTTCCCCTCCAACTCAACATTCCCGATTCCCATCGAGTCATTTCTCATAGAGCACTCTCTCGATGTTGACTTAGGAAGCTAGCGGTAGATTAGGCAGAGTAGGTCATGCGCACGTCCCCGTTGCCTTAGGGTACTTCTTAGGACGAGCGCTTCGAGCACGCCGTACCACATTACGACCAGGGTCAACACCATCCACTGGTTGTGCGGCAGAATTCTAAGGTTGACACCTAAGAAGTGCTGACAGAGGGTGTAGTGAGGGATCACCTGGGGGGAGTTCTTGTACATTTGTAAATAATCAAAGCATGCAACATTGGGGAACAGTAACAGCAGCGGTGAGGCAGGGCGGGTACATGGCGGAGTGGTGGGCACCGGAAGTTACAAGAGGGTGGCAGGGCGGCGGGCTGAGCTGGAGGGAGAAGTGATGGCAGGATCGGCAGCAGATGACGTGGGTGTTGGGATGACCGGGTGTGATGTTTGGTGTGCATGTGCTTGTTGTGTTTGTTCTGCAGACACCGAGTCCAGGAGGAAGCTGGAAGACAGGATTGCCAGCTAGAAGCAGGCGGGAGCATAGGATGGATGGCAGCTAGGAAGTTCGTGTCCAATGCAATGTCGGTTGGCTTGCCTAGCTAGGGTTGTAGTGGGAAGCATATGGGGGAACCCTAGGCCATGGGACTGCTACTGTGTGTTTGTTTTCGTGAATTACTGCAACTTTCTTCAAGGCTAGCAGTTTGCAACGGAGCCATAACCACAGTGAGAATGAGTTAGGAAGGGGCATAGCATACAAACACACAGTCTTGATGCACCTGCGGTTGGGACGGGTACTAGAGGGAAAGGGAGTAGGTAGCGCGGTGAGTCCGCAAATGGCAAACGAGGGAGATGCTGACCTAGTGACGAATCAGTCGCAACAGACGGGAGGAACCGAGGGGCAAGATGGACCCAGCGAGGGAGCGAGCGGACCGCAGGGCGGCGCTCGCGCGGAGGCAGGGGATGGCGGGAATAACGCATCCGGAGGACCGGAAGAACGCCAGCGAAGTCAGCCGCCAGCGCGCTCGCAGCAAGGGGGACCAAGCGGGTACCAGCGAAGCGCCTCCTGGCAGGGCACGAAGGACGAGACGGTGGTGCAGCGTTGGAAGTACACCCAGCTGCCCAAGATCGAGGTGCCAGAGAGGTTTCCGGGGGACGCAAGGCGTGGCCCGAGTCTAAAGAATTACATCATGCACCTAGAGAACCTGCAGGCGCGATGGGCGAAGGATCGGTTGGATCCGGAAGAATTCTTTCGCGGCTTGGCGAGTACGTTGGCGGGAGCGGGGTTGACCTGCCATCCGGGGAAGTGCAGATTCGGGCAGACGACAGTAGAGTACCTGGGCATTGAGGTGGAAGGGGGAAAGATCGGGATTCAGAAGGCGAAGGTGGAGGTCCTGGACCGGGTGGCCATGCCGAAGGACAGGAGCACCTTGCGGGCGCTGCTGGGGTTTCTCAATTACTACCGGAAGTTCATGCCCAATTTCAGCAGCAGGGCCACAGCTCTGAACCAGTTGCTGAGGAAGGACCGGCAGTGGGAGTGGGGGCCAGAGCAGGAAAGGGCAGTGCAGGACCTAATGGGAGCAGTTAGGAACGGAGCAGTCCTGGAGCTGCCAAGGGCCGATCTGCCATTCACGCTCTACACCGACTGGAGCAGTGCGGGCATGCGAGTGGTGCTGGCCCAGATGAAAGGGGAGGTGGAGAAGGTGGTGGCCTTCGCAAGCCATAGCTGCAATGCGGCTGAAGCCAACTATTCCTCGTATGAAGAGGAGGGCCTGGCGGTGGTCTGTGCGGTGAAGCATTTCCGTGTGTACCTGCAGGGCCGGAAGTTCACCCTGGTGACGGATCACCAGCCGTTGCTGTGGTTGATGCAGACGCCAGACCTCACAGGGAGGAATGCCCGGTGGGCGATGAAGCTGCAAGAGTACGATTTCAAGATCAGGCACAGGCCGGGAAGGACCATGCAACATGTAGATGGCCTGTCAAGGAACCCGCCAGAGGTACAGCCATCAGCCTGCCTCATGGCGATGGCGAGGGAAGCGGACAGGGGGCAAGTGTGGGGGGAGAAGAACGGGAGCCCGGCGGATATCTGGGAAGACAGGGAAGCCTTGGCATGGATTCAGGGGGCAACTACAGAGGAGGGGGCAGCAACGGCGAGAGTCCGAGCGAGAGGAGAACATTACCGCTGGTTCAAGGAACAGGTGCAGCTGTGGACGGGGGAAGGCTGGAAGCACGTACCACCTCCAGCAGAGCGAGAGGGGATCATAAGCGAAGTACACACAAAGCTGGGGCATCACGGACCGCTGCGGACGCAGTAGTTGGTGCAGACGGGATGGTGGTGGGGTGGCTGGCTTTCCTCCATCTTGCAGCCCATACTTCTCAGCCAGCCCCTCACAATACTTTCTCTGGTGCAACCTCAACACTCCCTTGTCAAGGTCCCTCTCCACATGCATCCCTAAATAGTACTTCACATCTCCCATCTTGGAGCACTTAAACTGCATCTCCAGCATCTCCTCCACATGCTCAATCATTGCAGACGACTCAGAGAAGAGCAGGATGTCGTCCACATACACCAGGAGCATGAGAAACTGCTCCTTCTCCTGCAGAAGGAACAAGCTGTGATCACACTCACTCTTCTTGAAACCCCCAGCCAGCAGAGTCTCCTCTAACTTGTGGTACCATGCACGAGGAGCCTGCTTCAGGCCATAGATGGCCTTCTTCAGCCTGCACACCCTGCCGCTCCCATCATCCAAACCCTCAGGCTGTAACATGTACAGCTCCTCCAGAATGATCCCATTGAGGAAGGCGGTGGTGATGTCCATCTGCTTCACCCGCCATCCACGGTTTGCTGCCATTGCCAATGACACCCGAAGTGTTGTGCCTTTCCCCACAGGAGCATAGAGCTCGTTGAAGTCCTTTCCCTTTGTCTGCTGAAACCCCTTAGCCACAAGCCTTGACTTGTAGCGGGTCAGCGCCCCATCAGGTCCGTACTTGTGCCTGAAAATCAGCTTGGAAGAAATGGCCTTCTTCCCGGGTGGCAGCTCACACAGCTCCCACGTCTCATTCTCCAGCAGAGAATCATACTCCTCCTTCACACTCTGCTTCCACTTTTCAGCATCGGGCCCGCTCAATGCCTCAGCTAGCGTCTTGGGCTCAGGGACGGCTGCCCAGTAGCAGTGTGCTATCTCATCCTCATCACACTGCTCAGCCACACTCCCAGCCCTTACCACCTTTGGCTTGCCACGGCTTGCATAGGTCAGCCTGTTAGGAGGGCGCACATCCCTCCTAGGACGGTCAGCCGTACGTCCGGCACCTTGTGGAGCACCTTGCTCCTCCTGCTGCTGCGGCTGCTGCTGCTGTTGCTGCTGCTGCTGCTCCTCCACCTCAGGTTCTCCCCCATCCTCAGTCACCCCAGAGATCTCATTCTCAGAGACAGAAACCTCCACTTGCCTCGAAGGCCGCTGCACCTCATCGGCCTCGACAATTAGCGGTGTCGTAGGAAGCTTCTGCTGCTGCTGCTGCTTCCACTCCTTGTAGTACAAGGACTCAAGGAACTTCACATCCCTTGACACAGTCAGCTGCTGGCTGGTCAAGTCCCAAATCAGCCAGCCCTTGTGATCCTTAGCAAGCCCCAAGTGCACACCCCATCTCCCAGAAGCTTCCAGTTTTCCCCTCTTCTCTTTCGGCACATGAAACACCACCATGCACCCAAAGGCTCTCAGCATGTTTACAGCTGGTGCAATCCCATACCACTTGGTGTAGGGGACCCACTGCTTGTCCCCAACAGTCGCCAGCACCCTGTTCTTCACAAGGGCGACCTGCCGCAGTGCAGTCACCCAAAACGGATCCGGCAGCCCTGCACGCCCAAGGAGAGTGCGAGCACCTTCCTGCAGGGTCCGGTTGAACCGCTCAGCCACACCGTTCTGCTGAGGGTTGTAGGGCACCGTGAGCTGATGCTGGATCCCCTTCTTCTTCAGCACCGCCTCAAAATCAGCGCCAATGAATTCTCCCCCGTTGTCAGTGCGGATCACCTTCACCTTATGTCCGCTCTCCCTTTGAGCTCTCGGCATCCACTCCTTGAGAACATCCGCTGCCACCTCCCCCTTAGTCTTCAGAGGGTAGACCCACACCGCACGCGTGTGGTCGTCCACAATGGTCAAGAAGTAGCGGCTGCCCGAGAGAGAAAGGGCCCTCGTGGGGCCCACCACATCCATGTGCACAAGCGCGAGCGGTGCCTTGGCTGGTCCCGTGCTGCTGCTGAAGGGAAACTTCGTGAACTTCGTTTCAAGGCATGTAGGGCAGCTCCCAATCTCCTTTGCTGCCCCCTTCACCTCCAACCCCTTCAAGCACCCATCCTTTACCAACTTCTGCAGCATAGGAATGTTCATATGGCACAGCCTCT